ATCTTTCTCCCGGGGGAGAATTGAAAGCCCATGCCCAACTCGAGAGAAGAGGCCAGGCTCTCCGTAATGGATAGCGCCATAATGAAGTACGGCACGGCGGACTCTCTCATTAATTAACGTTAAAAGGGAAACTTTTGTAATTGCGCTCCTAAGACGAAGCGATGCAGCCTGACCTCCTCCGCTGACGCGTCGTTACGTCGACGTCAGAGAGAACCAGACGGCGGCGCGTCGTCTTGGAAAATCGACGCCCTTCCAGTAATTAGGAGTGCCCCGAATTTATTATATTATGCTCCCCAAATCCTTTACGAGTGCTACAGTCGACACATTATTCCGGAAGTATGGCAATTTCCGCAACATTAACTTCAATTAACGCAAAACTACGGGACTGCGCGAATACGATATTTATTTAGGAACTCCAGTTTCTTTCGAACGTCGCAATCCAGACGCTGCAGCGCGCTGTTCCGGCAGTTTTAAACGGTCACATTGGCTTAGACCCGGTTTTTCATTTGAAGATAAATTTAACTAGTCAGGTTACTTTCACTTGAAGATTAACTTTTAGATTAGCTGTTATATTACGTTTTTCAATGTATAATTGTTTGTTGATCGATCTTCAGTAAACCTTTACACTCAAAAAACTTCTGATGTTGGTATTACAACAGAAAAAGCTTATAATTCATGTAATATAGGTATCTATAATTTACGCAACATTTACTATAAGTAGATAAATACAATAAGTTAAGAATAATATTGAAAATAAAAGTTTTAGTTTAAAAAAAACCTGTGAGAGCAGAAATCGAGACGATGCAAAAGAATATAAATTGAATACCATAAATAATTACAGAGGATTTGTTACACATAAGCTAACGATAGTTATTACGAGAACATAAAAAAAAGTTTGACCACGAAAATGCAATGCAAGTGCAATGAGGTATTGATATTCTTTTGCTGTAGAAAATTGTAATGTTAACAAATTTCGGTTTATCTTGAAATATCAGTCCTGGGACTAACTACTGCGATTAGCAAGAAAATATTTATAATATTAATATTAATCTATATACATTGTTCTGTTTTTCAACTGTAGATAGTCGAAATTTAGAAAAGAAATCGAGATCACCTAGTTCATCAAAATAATTCGATCTACGCCGAAATATTTTAGGTCTTCTTATAAATTCTTCTTCACTGCTATAAATATTTACATCAAAATTATCGAAACCTATGTTGATTAATAATACTCACAAAATTCAAATTTTATTTACTTCAGCATAAAAGAGCTATAAGATGGGTTGATCTTCTAAACGTAAAAACTGAAGTTAAACCAGTCAATTTTCTGGTAGTAAAAGTTATCACTACGAAACTATTAATTTAGTGATCGACTGAATTAAAAAGCGTAATTTTTATTTTAAACTTTAGATTAAGTTCTATCTAAACTACAAGCTAGTCTACAAGTTCTATCTAAACTACAAGCTGCTAATCTAAACTACAAGCCCTGATTCTGTAACTCTTAACGACAATGTCGTTATCGTCGTATTGTAGTTGCGCGGGTATACTATATTATATGGCAAAAAAGCTGCGCAACGACAATATAACAATAACGATACTGTCGTTAGTTACAGAATAAAAAAAAACGAATGTTTAAACAAAACAAACGTGTCATTAATGACACGAGTTATATCAACACCATGAAGTCATTGGACGTAAAAATCATGATTATTTACGCGCACGTGTAATCACGCTGCTCGCCTAGACACAATAGATGTACTGTTCGCATACTGCGTTAAGGTGCCTTTTCACGTTGACGCTCGATTTTCGCTCATTTTCAGCAAGCAAAAATCTTGAAAAATAATATTTTTTATTTATATATATGTATCCATAAAATATTATTACTTGAAGATATTACTTGATAATAATTAATATTTTACATATTTCGAAGTCTATGTTTGATTGTACTGGGACTGATTAACGACGATTCAACGAGACGATGCTGAATATTAAACAAATTCAACTTTATTTCTTTGACGCTAGCGTCAAAGCGAAACCACCACGTTTACCTTGTTGACGCTCATTTTCAGCGTCTCATGAATTGGCACCTTTACGATAACCGTAACGCTCGCGAGTTTTTCTTTTTTCCTTCAGCCGATATACTTTATAACGTGATTTGGCCTTTCTTCCAAGGACGAACTGCGAACGTCAGAATTCTGCGGTATACCTTTTTACGCCAATTCAAAAGTTCGTGCTCGTCACCGAGCGCCTTCTCCTTCAAGGATCACCCGCGGGCTTTCAGGCACCAACGTTTTCATGTGCGTCCTGATTGTGCACATGCACGCCAAAAGCGGTCATACGAATTTCGCGTCGGGGTCGTCCGGGCAGGGATAAGCCGCGAATATGCATTTGCAGCCTATGATGTCATGAGCCGTTTCATTCCTCTATCGGGCGTCAAGAGTCTCCGGAGAGAATTCTTAATACAGCGATAAATATCTGAGAGTAACTCCGAGCCAAAGCGTTCCGAGATCTCGCGTGCGCTTTGGCTCGTACAACGAGAGCATGTCCCGACTCCCGTCACATACATATACGACCGTGACACTAAAACGCAGGCAGTGGTTCTCGATTTATGCTCTTATCATCCTCCTGTAATCTGGGCTTCCTTTCTAATTTCCGGATTTAAGGAATACGCTTTTGAAGAGAAATATTTGCATAAAATATTTCAGAAAGAAGAAGAAGAAGAAAAAGAGAGAAATGAAGAGAAAAAGAAGAAATTCTCCGTTCTTATATACATCAGAAAAATATGGCTGCAATTTGCATAAAATATTTCGGAAAGGAGAAAGAGAGAAGTGAAGAGAAAAAGAAGAATTCTCCGTTCTTATACCTACATCAGAAAAATACGACTCTAATTTTAATTTCAGTTTGTAAGTCAGTTCAGGTCAGTTGCGAGAAAAAAAGTGTAGGACAGGGCTCGTTCTACTTTGACAATGGACAGCTTTGGACAACGAGCGAATTTGCCAGCCGTCCCTCGCTTGTAAAGGATGGAAGTGCACCCACCTCAAACGTGATTAGAATCTTGGTACTAATCCCGGGACAAATTGAATCGCGGCCACCGATGCGCGTCGCTCGCTGTGACAGCCGATACAGAGAAATGCAATTTCGGATGGCACGCACGTATATAAGGCGTGACCATGCGACACGGAAAATTGACACGATTATCGATAACCGCGTGTACACGATGCACACCGCGTGCATCTATCTCTCTCTCTGCTCTCGTGCGCCGCAGGCATGCACCCGGTCAATGCTTACAGTTCCACAGTCCCTTGTGCTTAAACTGCCTTTAGGAACCGGTACATGATCGATACACCGCTTTGTAATCACATGCATGCCGCTTGCATAGGGCAACGTCATCAATTAATTAATATTTGCAATATTCAATAAAGCGTCCGACCGACCTAACCCATGATCTTTAGACAATAGAATCACCGATAATTATGTGTGCATGTCACAGGACAATTTAACTATTTTATTTTAAAAAAGCATGCTTTTTTTAAACAGGAAAGTCGTTGAGATTTCAACAAGGCTGGGGGGAAATATTAACCCTTTTGTAATGTGTAATTTATGAAAAGGGTACATAATTGTGTTAAACGGGCTAAATTTACAAAAAGCAGCGTGTATAACTATTGTCCGTTACGAATACAAATAAGTTGTTTTACAGTTTTTACAGTAATTAATATTAATCTGAACTTTACGAAAAACATAAGTAGCTTAATTGACTGGTTGCGTGCACGTGAACCGCCTCCTCTTTGTGCAAAACTTCTCTGATAAGATGTGCATCTTTGACGTAACACAGATACACATATATGTTGCATGCTTGCGTGCAATCTATATGTCCTAGATGTGGTTACCACGGCTAGTATTGATGAAACAATGAAGAGATTTATCTATTCGCATCAACGTTATTGCAAATTAACAGTGTAATACACACACACACACACACACACACACACACACACACACACACACACA